TTTTTTATTAAACTCATTATTTTTATTAAACATAACTCTACAGCTTTATTTTATTTATTAACTATCAAATGACGAACCTTAAATCTAATAAAACCATTAATATAATGCAAAAGTAACAATAGGTTTAGGATAGTTCCTTACAAAAACCCCATGTTTATTTCATAATAATTCGTACTCTCGTAAAATTAAAAATTTCATTGCTTTATTTTACATATGAACTGTCTATCTAACAAATGACGAAGCGTAAATTTCGTAAAACCATTAAAATAAATAAAAAGTAAGAATGTGGTTAGGATTGCCCCTTGCATAACTCCCATGTTAATTCATAACAATCGGTTATTTTTATTAAATTCATAATTCCAAAGTTTTATTTCATTTATTAACTGTCTATCAAATGACGAAATTTAAATCTAATAAAATCATCAATATAAAGCGAATGTAGCAATAGGCTTTGGATAGTTCCTTGCATAATCCCCATGTTTATTTAGTAATAATGCGTTAAGTTGTATAATTAAAAATTTCATTTTTAAACTTTTGAACTGTCTATCAAATCATAAAATCAATAAAGTTCTTTTTTTAAATTGAGAATTTCATAGTTTGATTTTATTTATGAACTATCTATCAAATCCTTTGCACAACTCCCCATTTTATTTCATAATTATTCGTTATCAGGTAAAATTAAAAATTTCATTGCTTTATTTTATTCACTAATTTCGTGGTCCGCTTGACCAATTAATATATTACAATTAATTAAGGTTTTTAGTTGAGATAAAAAAGTCAGTGTCACGTGCGGGATTCGAACACACGATCTTCGACTTGATTCGCCGCTGCTCTACCACTTGAGCTATCGTGACCTCGATCCACTCGGACGCTAACTTCCCATCTCAATCCCACCTTTTGAATTTTCCCTCCTTTTTGCCATTTTTATCTCAACTAAAAACCTTAATTAATTGAAATATATTAATTGGTCAATTGGTCAGGACCTTAACAAAATCTTCAGGAAAACGCAAATTCTTCCTGAAAAATCCGAAGGACCAGAACAAAAATATGAATAGCAAATTTTAAATTTTAAAGGACGAAATATCAAACTGTATGACAGTATACAGGGCGCCCTTTTTAGATGGCCCGGATGAATTTCTCTTGAACCCATGGCTCTTCCAGAAAATTTAAAAAAAATACTTGTTTAATATTTTTTAGTCTAGTTTCAAATGTTTACCTTTTTTTTGGAGAAAAATAATAGAGGGTACCTCAGGCCCTAAACAGTTGGACTTTTCGAACGTTGGCAGAGGAAAACCCGAGAATGTCTCTTGTCATCATCAGATGGTTTACAGTATTAACGTTTTGTTAAAAATTTCAAATACGACCCTATACATCCTGACATTTTAAAGGATTTTTGGCACTGAAAACAATGTTTTAATAGGATTTTATATTGATCATAAAATGAGAAAGTTTTGGCAGAAAGTTTGAAAAATCGCATTTCGTTTGTTTCTTTGTTAATTTTAGTTTTAGCGAAAATATACTTCATTAAACATATTAAATTCATTGGATTTCATGGTCCGATTGACCAAATATATTCTTTTCAATTAATTAATCTTTATGTAAGGTATTGAATGAAATAAAAAAAATCAGTGTCACGGCGGGATTCGAACACACGACCTTCGGCTAAATACGCAGCTGCTCTACCACTTGAGCTATGGTGACTTCGATCCACTCGGACACCAAAGATTACTTAATTACTTTGGCTTTATCCAAAAGATTCTTAACGAGATTTTCCGCGAGTTATGAGATTATCCTCACCTCAAAGAGCCTTAAAAAATCTGCATAACCAAGTCATTCTAATCCAGGGACTTGTGACATGACTAAATCTTTTATGCTTTCTTCTTTATAAGTACCACTTTTTAGATTAAATTACAAAGTACCATGACCAAAAATTTGATATTTAGTAAGTATTTTTATCCAAAAGATTCCACACTCATTTCCAGAGAACCTTAGTAACAAATCTCAAGAATAAAGTCTTTCTAATCTATTAGATCGTTAAGGAAATGTCGCGAATGGTGTTATTTTATACCCAAAAAACTTTAAGGAAGTATATTTTTATATAATGTTACGTTTTTATTGATTTGCCTTATTTTCTGATTAGATTTTTTTCACAATTGCATAGAACTTGACGAAATGTCCCAATCGAGCAAAAAATGGAGGATAATCTTTACGCAGCTTAAAGAATTATCAAAATCTAAATTATAATCCAAATTTTCATCATATAAACTTCATAATGTCGAAAATTAATAGGCGATTATCAAGCGAGATTGCCAAAGAATATTTTTTTTTTAAGTGGTATCTTAATAGTTTCCGATTAAATAAATATATTTTGTAATATTATTTAATGATACGGTTAACCGTGGTAGCATAATGACGACAAATCCTGCATGTCAGATTGAAATGTTGTTTAACAACTCCAGTGTGAAATTAATCCAGTAACGAGCCTTTGCTCGACCCCGATCTTGAATTTTTCCACGGTCGGCACATTCGACCCGAATCACGTCTTCCATAAGCTTTCTCGGAAGCTTATGAGATGACTATGCTTTCTAAACAAGACCGATTACAACGGTGGAAGGAAAAACACGCTATTAAAACTTCACTCTATTAAAGCTTCTTCGACATTAATTGGGCATTTAAGGTTCAAAACTGGTACAAATGAGATACGGAGTGGGTTTAATAAGGGTGGCGAAATGATCGTCTTTTACGATTATCTTTGCTCTTTGGGATTTTTCCGTTGAGCCTGAAAGTTGACCGACTTTAGTGATCATAAGAATTTTGATTTGGTAAAAAATAAATAACATAATAAATATAATATTTAAACAAAGTGGATGTTAAGATCATATATATCAAGGTACATATCAAGGTCTGTCAAAACATGAGGATATAAAACTACCAAAATGATCCTCCAGAGTATGGTCCATTATTGTATGTATTCTTTGGTTTATTTACAAACGTGTTGTTTGCCTAAACTGGAAGTACTCACGGAAAAATCAGAAAGGAAGATTAAACTGTTATAAAACCAGGTTAATATTAAATTTTATCTATTTTTAACATGGCGAAAGAAGCATCGAAAATGCCGCATGACCCGGACACTCTGGTTAGTCCGGCGGATATTAAAAATTCCTTGAAACAATTAAGCTGGAATGAAAAACTAAAGGTGATAAAACCGACAATCAAACCTTGGGTCCCTGAAATTTTCAGAAAGAAAGAATTGTACTTACATGATTAAGGATAGGGCATACCCGCCTAACACATGGACATCTCATCGGCAAGAGACCAAGGAAATACCCCATGTGCGGCGCAACTGTAACAGTAAGACATATTTTAGAAGAATGCGAACAACCAGCGCCGCACAACTTGGGCCGCCCAATGACATAACAAAAGTGCTTAAGCACAACAGTGATTATAAACGAAAAGTCATTGATTACTTAAAATTAATCAACGCGTATTGCTATATATAACCCACCACACGTGGGACATACACCTTTTTGTATGAATGTATTTATTTGCGTGAATGTCGAAGTATGCATGGGTGTGGCTGTGACGGAATATCAAGTATTCACAGGCCCACCAAATTAGTATAGATATGTATATACTTTGTAGTATGATGTGAGGGACGGGTCATTGGTTTTCGTTGGTTTAAAATAATAAAAAGTCAATGGCACGAGCGGGATTCGAACCCACGATCTTCGGCTTGATACGCCGCTGCTTGCTGAAAAATGGCAAAAAGGAGGGAAACTTCAAAAGGTGCGGTTGAGATAGGAAGTTGATGTCCGAGTGGATCGAGGTCACGATAGCTCAAGTGGTAGAGTTCAATTCAAATAAATCAAAAATAATAATTGACTAACCACAAAACTAACCACAATAGTAATAATCGTTTTTTTTTTTTTTTTTTTTAAGGATTTTGAACCATGTAGTTCCAAAGTGAGGCGTCATCGTTACCGCTTTGATGGTAGGAATGCCGCACAGTTGTATTCCAAGACGTAAAGTAAAACTTCGATCGGGTAAGGCAATCTTCTGGAAGATTAGGAAAGATTACTTACTACCTGTCCCTAAAATGCTACTTACCCAAGAGCGGTACCTCAAGGAAGAATCTTAGGGCCATCCTCTACACAACCCACACATTCCTGTCCTGGAACGATCCCGTTTATTCTCATAAAGAAACTGCCGTTCCCACCATCTGAAAACCCATGTCAAATCAAATGAGCAGTGGTTTACGCGGTGGACGACAATAAACATACAAAAATGTCCAAATTTCACCCTTCGGAGAATAATCACCGCTGACATATACTACAATGGCCTCCAAGAGACGACAGGATGTTTGAATTTAATCAAAACTTGCAAATAAATCTAGGTACCAAAAAAAGAGAACGAGAGGGAAACACCTCCTTTAAGAATGGCACCATCCTTCGGATACCAGATAGAAGGAATAACACAAGAAGATAGAGGGGTGGGAGTATTCGGTCCTGGAACCAAATACTCAGAACCCATGGGAAAATACACCAGTATGATCCGAGCTGAGATTCACGAATCGAGCATCTCAACTCAACCTCTATAAAGGGTACAAAAACAAGAACTTAGCTATCATGTCAGTTAGCCAAGCAGCCATCAAAACACTAAGCTCAAACATTTACATCTACACGGAACCCATACAAACAAGACGATAACTAAACAGATGCTTCAGAATTCTTAGAAGATTGCAGGATCAAATTTTGAAGAACAACAAAATCTTCCAATTTAAAACGTATCCAATCCAAAATTTAACGAAACATCGTCATCGATCATTTTATGTATCCAACCTTACCATTTACAATGACCTTACTTTCCGATAAAAATATTTATCTTTAAGTAATTCAAGATATCATTTTACAAATAAAAAATATGGTATAAACAAACATAAATTCTGGAAAAATATTATTTTTTTATTTATTTTAAATTATTTACATTATAATTGTGTCTTGTTGATCTTGTTTATTTTAAACTTTTGTTGGCTTTGCTATTTGTGGTAATTGATAGATCTTTTTTTTGTGAAGAGAGGCCGATGGTTATCTCCCATTATGCTAGTCGCTGCTCTTTGGAATTCAGAAGGGTCGACCGCCGTCCCAAATAGCATCTCGGCGTCCTCCCGAATCCTTTCACGTCCTTACAAAATGCTTTTACGCCCTGGTAGACAAAAGCTTGGAAGCTTTCCACCGTCAGGTAGGCAAACACGAAGCCGCATGTACACCTACGAGTTAAACGGCCGTTTTATTTTTCTCAAACGCGCCTCTGGCTCGTCCTTGCCCGCTGATCCTCGCCAGTCTCGCGTAACAGTTCGAGGAAAATTTGCGCAATATCATGAATTGCAAATAATGCCGGGATCCTCGGTGAAATCCGCTACTCGGTCGGAATCTGATCCACCGGCCTTGTTTTGTAAAATAGTATTTCGATTGTTTAAAAAAACACCATCGGCGCCGATCGGCAATGTAAATCCCATCCTTGAAATATAATTCTTGTTTTACTGATGGGTGCGAAATTTGCAGACCTCTTTGTCCCAGAAGGACAACATGAAGGAAGTTCCTGGAAGGCTAGAAAATACTGATTATCATAGATTGTCAAAGTATCTGCAAAATAACAATAACCATATACTATCTTGAACAATCTAAAAATTGATTATATTATAAAATAAATAAACATTGTTTTTATGTTTTTATTATTATTTAGCATAATGATTATTTGGGGATCCTGAGATGCGGTCTGGTGTGACGTAGGTTACAGAAAAACATTTTCATTATCGTGCCAACGTTTCGACCTTTATTGAGATCATCTTCAGGGCCTGGGATTTATAAACATTGTTTAAATTGTACAAATACATGTAGAATGTGAAAAAAGTGCATTTATACAATGCTAGAAATTTTAGACTCAATCAAAATATTTGTACTAACTCGAAGTGTTTGTTTTCTGTGTAGGTGATCAAATACTTTGATTGAGTCTAAAATCTTTAGCATTGTATAAATTTACTTTTTTCACATCCTACATGTATTTGTTTAATTTAAACAATGTTTATGAATCCCAGGCCCTGAAGATGATCTCAATAAAGATCGAAACGTTAGCACGATAAACAAAATGTTTTTCGAAAACCTACGTCACACCAGACTCACGGTCGCTAAACACCACACATTTAGCATAATGTTGCGTCCTGAACGGCCAATTTTTTTACAATAATCATATTAAAATAGAGTCATACTACAACGCAGCGAAACAAAGCGTACCCAAGTGATGGCGGTCAATGGATGAGCAAATGTACACAAACATCTAATACCACCTTTTGTAATAAAATGGGAAGTCGAAATGAGGAGTTTGTGGCATAGGTGATCGAAGTCACGGTAGCTCAAGTGGTTAATGCAGAGGCGTATTGAAGGTCGTGGGTTCGAATCCCGCCTGCTACACAAATTTTTCATTACGAAGAATCTGAATGTGCTGTGTTGTATGTATATCAATCTTCTTCAGCTTCCCATTCAGTCCTTTTAGGATTCATGTTTTTTCCTGCTTCCTTTGATACATTCTGTTGTTTTTTGTCCAAAATTTCCTACAACGCTGTTGAATGGTTTATGTTCAAAGAGTGACTTCTACTGTTACCTCTTTTTCATTTTGTTCTTTTGTCTAAGATACTCATTGAGAGCGTAAATCTCTAGGCTACAGATGGGTTGGGGACCTATCGGAAGTATGGCAACCCATTTTCTTGCCATCTACTACCACAAGTACTGGACCCCAACAGAGGGTGACTTGAATACCTAATTTATTGAGTGTTTGGTAATTAAGCACTATCGATGAGCTAATGATGTTTGAACTTAGAACTCAGATGACTGCTTGGCTGATATGATAGCTATATGCTTGTTTTTGTACCCCTTATTAGACTGGCTACTTCTCCCAATTGGGTGGACATCAGCCTGGTGTGCATTCGCATAAGTCCTGAGGATTTAGTTATAGAAGCGAATATTTTCCTCCTTTCTAGATCCATCCAAGTACCAGTACGTGGTGCCGTACATGTCCACTTAGCAGTATGTAGGTCTCCTTAGGAGGAGATAATAAAAATTGATTTTGAATTTGCCTCATCACTCATTAGGACGCAACTGACGATTAAACATGATTATATGAACCAAATCCCTTCGCCTCAAATGTTCCGTTTAATTCCATCGGGAAAAAAATCGCTTTATGAACTGAAACCAGTGAAAACACTTCTTCAAGCATAGACAGTTATTAACTTTATAAAGTTAACAAGAACTCGCAGAAACAAAACTTTATCTGGAATTCTGAGCGACCAATTTTCAAATAAACTATGGTTATAATTCACTAGTTTCGTGGTCCGCTTGACCAATAAATATCTTACAATTAATTAAGGTTTTCAGTTGAGATAAAAAAGTCAATGGCACGAGCGGGATTCGAACCCACGATCTTCGGCTTGATGCGCCACTGCTCTACCACTTGAGCCATGGTTGTAATGTAAATACAATAATTTCATAAAATTAGATTTATTTTTCAGCTGTAAAAAAACTCAATTTGCTGGGCTAAAGTGCAGTGAACCATTCACACTTACGAAATGGTCTGTATACTTATATCCTGACTTCTCATCATATGAGTTTTTATTCTCACTTTCACACACACACTCTCTCACTCTCTTTGTTTTTGATTTTATAAAGTTGTTTACTTACAAAACTTTACCGTGAAAACGGACATTTTATGTACAACAACCCGATAGTAACGACGTATATATAGCAGCTACAGGACGAACAGAGTGGTCACAAGCAATCATCCAAATCGCCTAGAACGAGAACAACTTTACTAACAATCGGTTAACCAATCTAGGTTTACATTTCATGAGCCTTTAGTTTATGATTAACCTAAAACAAACAACTATAGAATTATACATGGTTCGTTGGTCGAATAGGACGAATTCGTGACTTGTTATGGTTGTTGGCCGCCTAGTTTCGCTTTTCGCTTCTCATTAGCGGTACGACCGCTGCGAAATTATGTTCCTTATGCTTTTAAATGATTGTTCGCACTGGAAAGCAATTTAAATGCTTTGTAAATGTTGCAATTTGATTATCACGGCGCACTGTAGTGCTTTGGCCAAGATACATACCTTTACATGATTTTTCGGTTTTTCTCACCCTCATATCTCAGCTTCCTCTTAAGATGGGCTTTTGACATTTGATACTTAAATTAGGCTTAGGTCGCATAGGACATTGTAAAAATTTGAGAACTTAATAATAAGCCTTTTCGTAAGAGGAGAATTTAAAAAATGGCATTTTTGTTACTAATTGATTAACTGATCACCAAAATTATAAGGTACTTCGCGAAAAGCTACAAACATGAAATTCGAAAAAACGTTAGGTTTTATATAGCAAGTAAAGGAAAAAAATCAGAAAATTGCAATTTTCTAAAAATTAGTGCCGCTTTTGTCGGAAAGAGTATAGTCTCGCCATCAAAATTATAAAGTACTTCCTGTATAGGTAGAACCATATAATATGGTACAAAGGTCTAAGAATGTGAAAATTGCAATTTTCCTAAAATTTGTGCCACTTTAGATGGGGGGGGGGAGTTTTATCATGAAAATTGCCGGATAAGGCACTTCCCATATAGGTAGAACCGTGAAATTTGGTACAAAGGGGTATTGTAAGTAAAAGAAAAAATCTTAAAATTGCGAGTTTCTTAAAAATTTATGCCGCTTTAGGAATGGGAGAATAGTTCTAAATGGGCGAAGTACACGCATCCAACAATTTAAAAAAATAATTAAATTTCATTTAACATTTCACGTTCAAATTTTTGCGCGCTCAATTGGTTGATTAGAACGGGTGATTTTGTTGGCCCAGACGGCTCCAGGAGTGAATAATTTTTTTTATAAATCTTGTTTAATGAAAAGGAAAACTATAAATAATAAATTTTAGACACGTCTCCGATCTGGACCATTTAATTAATGGAAAATACCTACTTATTAAGAAAAAATAAAAATACGATTACGCCCAAGGGGCCAATCTCTCAGCTCTTCAACAAAAGCCCAAACGAACTTAAGAGAAAATCTACGACATGCAAAATCGCTTCTCTGCCCTAGGCAACGTGAAAAAACCCAAGACACCGTCTGCATACTGAAGCGAGAAAGTATGATATCCCAACAAAATCTTAACCGTGTAAAAAGGGCCAAGTTCCAGACCCACTCCAAGAAAATGATCAATATAATGGTATCTTTACTGTGGCCAAGTCCGTTCTTTTTTTGTCCACAGTTCTTTCATTTTTACTGATTAAAACCTGGCCAGTTTCTGAATGAGCAAGGAGGAGTCTATAACCTTTTCCTTTTCTTATGAGTTCTCTACCTTCCCTTCACCCGCCTAACCTGTATGAGAAAACATAGTCCTGATGTTTTAATATTCAGAAACTGGCCAAGAGTTAACCAATACAAATAAAAAAACAATGTTGCTCATAAAAGTAGGGGTGAAGTGAGGTTGGCCACAGTGTAGATATCACTACTACTTTGAAAGGCTGCCTTTTTTGGAAGGGGGTCTGGAACTTTTATCTTTTCTTTTGAGTTCTCTCAGGTTATGGACTAAAAAGACAACGGACTTGGCCACAGTGAGTACAGGGTGTTCGGCTACTCGTGCTACAAACTTTGCCAGTAGATTCTACATTCAAAATGGAACCAAAAAGTCCGAATTATCTATGTTCCGAATCTCAACAGTTTTGGAGTTATTCTATTTTTCTGATTTTTTAAGATTTCACGACTTTGCTTCTAATAAACAACGATAACTCCAAAACTAAAAGGTTTTGGACAAATCCGTTGAGACCATTGAAAACTATATTCGAATCCCGCTCGTGCCATTGACTTTTTTATTTCAACTAAAAACCTTAATTAATTGTAATTGAAAACTAGGTTAAATTTTCAATAAGATGTGTTCAATACTAAACTTGTAAACTTTCGTGAAATGAGCGCTGTAGTAGCGAGAACTTTGAAACAATTTTTTTTTGTCAAAGTTGAAAAAACTTACTATGGTGATTTTAAACGACTATTTCCATAGAGACCAGCAAATTTCAGAAAACGTACTCCATTTAATATCCTTTTTAGTGGTGTAATTTCTTTTTTAATTACTTTTGTGAAACATTAAGAAATTGATGAAGGAGAGGAAAAAACGGTGGTTGACGGATTGCTAAGGTGGAGAAAAAAACTTAAGGAAATTTTGAATGAATTTATTAAACTTTTTTTTAAATTTGGGTTCTAAACCGAAATAATGCAAGTGTTTACTTATTTCCCAACACGACTGCAAATTTTATTAAAAGATTATTTTATTGTTATTCCACGGAATAAAAGAGTTTTAAGATTCAGAACTTTTTTAGTTATCTATGTGATATTTTTTTAACACTATGGCTAATTTTTCTAATGAAGAATACATTAACATACATTTTATATACAGATGTATATTAAGTACAGGTTTTGCGGGAAAGCGACGGCAGCGCGTCGAAAATTCAATGCGGAGGGTGGAGAGCATTTCCAATCAAAATTAAAAAACGGTCAATAAATTCATTCAAAAATTTATTTATTTTTATTTTTTATTATTATTAATCTTTCGGCCTTACCAATCCTTCAACCACGGTTTTTCTTTTCGTTCATCAATTTCTTCTTCTTTAAAAAAAAATTAAAAAAGCAATTGCACTACTAAAAAGGATATTAAATGGAGTACGTTTTCTGGAATTTGTTGGTCTCCAGGTTTGGAAATAGTAATTTAGAATCGCCATAGTAAGTTTTTAAATTTTGAAAAAAAAAATTTTTTTTCAAAGTTCTCGCTACTAAAACGCTTATTTCACGAATTTTTACAAGTTTAGCATTGACCTCATCCTATCGGAAACTTAACCTAGTTTTCAATGATATCAACGAATTTCTCCAAAATCTTTTAGTTTTGGAGTTATCATTGTTTATTTGAAGCAAATTCGTGAAATCTTTAAAAATCAAAAAGTGAAATAACTTTCAAAAGTTCTCGCTGCTAATAGCTTACACGTTTACAAATTTAATGTTAATCACATCTTATTGGAAATTTAATGTACGTTTTTCAATGATCTAAACGGATTTGCCCGAAACCTTTTAGTTTTGGAGTTATCATTGTTTATTTGAATCAAGGACGTGAAATCTTTAGAAATCAGAAAAAGTGAAATAATTCCGAAACTGCTGAGATTCGGACCATAGTTAATTCGGACTTTTTGGTTCCATTTTGAATGTAGAATCTTCCGCAAAAGTTTGTAACACGAGTAGGCGTACTCCCTATATCATTATATTGATAGGCTAATTTTTTGGGAGGGGGGAAAAGGGGCCCTTTTTTCATGGTTAGGTTTTTGTCGGAACATATTTAACACATTTGCCTGTTTTGGTAAAATAAGTTATCATTTAAGTAATTTTTTTACTTTTATTCGAACCAAGCCGTTGGCAGATACCGTGATTATTTTTTTAGTTCTATTTGATTATCAAAAATTGTGTTGCACCCAGCTGATACAAGCTCTGTCGACTAACTAGAAAGCTTTTTAAAATATATTTGGATCGTTTTAGTAAGTTCAAATTCTTAAATGTGGATGAAAACTATTTACAAAGGGAACAACAGATGGAAAAGTCAACATCCTTCAGATGTCAGGTGCAAAGCCAGCCCAGGTAGCTAAAACACGGGTTTTAAAGTTTGATGATCTTCAATGATGTTGAAGAATTTATTTTCTGATCAACTTAATATGTATAATCCATGTGGGCATTGAAAAGAAATTAAAAAAAAAATACTCTGTAACAAAGGCCGGCTTTCAATGGATGGTCTATTTTCCTACGATGAAAAACTGAGCCAAGGTCGTCGTCTCAGGAATGCCCATTATCACGGCCAAATGGATGTCTATCGAAATCACGAGATAGGATCCGGCAATCATCCTTCATGACAAAAGGACCCCGGCATAAATCACCGCGAGTCCGAAGGGAAGACTGCCGGTGACAATGGGGCAGATGCGGGCGCAGCTGGACCGTGGTTTCCTCCTTTTTCCAAACGGAAAACTAAGCCCGGGTCCGGGGGGGATTAGCGAAAGCCCTTCCACACAAGTGGGGCTTTTTCCCTGGGCGATTCCTGAGTAATTTTATACGGAATGCGCTCCTTTTGTGACCCACAGACTCCCCAGGTATAACCATTATAATTTTCTTTTTTCTTCGACTGAAGGGCTCCGTTATTATACAAATTATACGCACCACTGCAAAGTAATTACCATCTCTGTCGAAAAAAATATTTTAGATTTTTAAGAAGGATATGAAATAATTTCATGATAATGTTTAGATTAAACCTGTTGGAAATAAAATTATCAAATATTTTGGATCTTTGAGATCATTGCGGTCATTCATATATTTACATGCTTAAAGACCCGTCACTAACTCGAAACCACTTTTTAAAACATTATACCCTCTACCTGAGTTTCAATGCTTGGATCATCTGGTCCGCCTTTCATGCTTTTTCCATAAGAAACTTATAGAATTTCTTCATGGAATCTAGGAGTTGATGCACCATTAATGTTGGCGTTTCCGCTCATTTTGATCTGTTTATATGCCATCAATCACTTACTACCAAACTGTTTGGTTATTAATTTTTAATTTATTAAATCCAGCATTGAAGACCCATATTATTGTGAGTTTGTGTAAGGGTTAAAATAAGAATGGAGGTCTGCTGTGCCTCGACCTACTTATAAACTGGCTATCTACTGACGCTTCTAACCGGCCAAAACAGCAGTTTTAAGCAGTCCAAACTACTATATCTATTTGGT